TTCTGCACAGCTATGGGGGGCTGGTGGTGGGAGGGAATCCATTTTTCCCAATTAGAAAAATTATTTCTATAGCTTATATTTTATTTTCAAGTTCAGCTATCTCCTGCCTACAGTTCTAACTTTTTCTTTTTCCTCTCTGCCTCTAAAAACAAACATAATTTTCACCTAAAATAGTAGAATAAAATTGCCTATTCTAGATCCTAGAAAACAGCCCCCATTTTGACAGAACATCAGTTCCATAATTTATTCTTCACATAATTACATAATTCAAACTCATTATCTAACAATCCCCCTATTTTAGCTGCATCTTTTTCTGTTTATTTTATTCCATAGCAACATGCTTCCTAGCTCTCCCACAACCATTTCACTTAGGGGAGATGTCTCAAAGGTTTCTCTTCACATTATAATCTACCAAGAAAGGAAAGAGATCAAAGCTTTGTGAATAATAGACACAGAAAACCTTCTAACATAGCCGTCATTCATTGCATATTCAACAATTAGTTTTTGAGGGCCCTTAGAATGCCAGGCAATTATCTAAGCACTAGAGATACAATGGAATAATGATCAAGCATGTAGGTTCTGAATTTATGTACAAACCCTAGCTATATAATTGACTACATCTCCAAAAAATGGTGTTTACTTTACCTCTCTCTGACTCAGTTTACTCATTTGTGAAATAGGGAGACGCTAGTAATGCCTTTCTCCTAGCCTTGTTAAGGTTAAATGGTATATCATGTGAAAATCATTTAGATTCATGCTTGGCACATGGTACATGTCAGCTGTTATTACCAGAAGAGATGACACTTAATATTTGCCCAATCACCTATTAACAAACTTTTCCACCACCAACATGACTGCCTATCATGTCCTCTTCCCTAGCTATCCATCCATACTAGGAAGGAAATGATAAACTCATTAACTGGACTAGCAACTGGGATTGTGGCACTGTAAAGTCCTTAGTCTATCCCAACTTCTGCTGTTTACAAATGGGAACAGCTCAGAGATAATGTGCAGCTTGAATTGAACATCACATAACTAATTAGAGGGTGAAACTGGTATTAGACCTTGGGTCTCCATGTTTCTAGTCCAGACCCTGGAATAACCTCCAAACTGGAAGATTAGCCCATTCTCTCTTGTCTGGATTGCGTTTGACCACAGGGAACAAGTCAGTCACACTCCTAGTTGGTGGGGGTGGGAGAAAGGGGGTAAATTTGCTGTAAGGTGTCTATTTTTAGCCTCTCTAGATGGCCTGCTCTCTGCAGACTCACTCCAGCTAACAGACTGCTGTGGGATTTAAGGCACTCTCCATGGCGTTGCTTGGTGGTTGCTATGCCAACAAAATTGAACAGAAATAGAGTTTTCTAGTAGATTATTCTGATAGAGGCTTGAAAGCCAGATTAAAGCTCCAACTCTGAAGCTTAAATGATGCAAGTGATTAGTACTGGTATACAGTAGGTGCATAATACAAGTTAAAAAACAGAATGAATACATGAATGCAATTACTTGCATTAGGGAGCTGAAGATGTAGCAGCAGAGAACTGACCTGCTATTTAAAGTCAATATTTAAAGTCAGTCTGGAGCAAGTTTACTTATATTGTCCCTGAATTTTCATAATTACCTGACACTGTGTGTGAAATGATTTGTCTGATTCCCAAGGACTTCCTCTGATCTTCAGGCCACTTTCTAACTCTGCAACCCTGGGGGCTATGAGTGCACACAAGTGCTTGTTGCAGACATGGAAAAGGTAGCAGGAATCTGACCTGGGGCACCCCTGCAGGCCTTTTATGGAGAGGGCTTATTCACATCTGAGAGGGTTGGTGTTCAGTCCTTTTAAGGATGCTTTTTGGCAAATGCAATAATGCACTCACCATGTTTCATGAATGTATTTTTTATTTAAACAGCCTCTCAGGTCCAAGAGACCTGAGTTCAAAAGGCCATCCTCTGGCCACAAGGAGTAAATGTTATCAAACAAGCAGAGGGTCAAGGGAGCTCATAAATCTCCCTTCAGTTTCCAGGCCTTTCAGCAAGGATTCTCTGACAACCCCACCTGACAGGTTCTTTTCCTTTTCAATGAAATATCTTGCCTCTATTAATGATTTGGCCTTCTTCCTCTCTCCCTCTCTGTCCTTCTCTTCCTCCTTTCCTGCCTGTTCTTCCATTCTGCCTTCCATTCTCTTTTCCTCTTTCCCTCCCTCCTTTCTTCCACAGTGGCAGTGGAAAGAGCACAGTGTTTTGGAGTCAAAAATAGATTCAAATCCTTACTATCCCTGATGCTTACTAGTCATGTGGCCTTCAGCAGCTTCCATTACATCTTGAGCAGCATGTCCTCTTGTGTACAAGGGGATACCAATGTCTGTCTTGGATGGTTAAGGTAACAATGGAGCGTTTCTCAAACTTTAGTGGGCATGAGAGTCACCTAGGGAGATAGGTGAAAATGCAGATTCTCGAGACTCATGCCTATAGATTCCAATCCATGAGGTCAAAGTCCCAGGCATTTGCGTTTTAACAAGGTTCCCAGACTTCAAGGGTCCTACTTTGAGAAACACTGTATATGCTTGTAAATGCTTAGTAGAATGAGACATGTGATAAATATTCAAAAGGTGGAACCTATGATCATTATTCATTCAGTAAACATTTACTGAACATCTACTATGTACCAGGCATGATACCAGGCTCTGTAGAGATGTCTCACTTAATTTATTTTACTATGAATTTAATTTGTCCTATATGGATGCCTTGTCCCATCCCACTAACTGTAAGTTCCTGGAGGGCAGGATAATGTGGTATAGGAGAACATAAATGTTAGAAGACATATTCTAATCCTGAATCTATTCTTCACTAGCGATATGACTCTAGGCAAGTCATTTTATGTCTCAGAACTTTATTTTCTTAATCGAAAATTGGAAAGGCAATGCGTGTAGTGGTCAAAAGTCTAAAAGTTTCAAGTCCTGACTCTAATACTTTCGAAGTGTGTGATCTCGGGAAAGTAACTTACCTTCTTTAAGCCTCAGCTTCCTCTTCCATAGAAAGGGGATTCATTTGTTCAATATTCATTCCTTCAACAAATATTTATTAAGCACTTTCTGTGTAACCAATACTGTGCTAGATACTAAGAATATATTGTGGAGTAAGACAGACAGGGTCCCTGACTCATGTAGCTTACAATTTAATAGTGGGCACAAATATTAAATAGGTAACTACACAAATAACCAATTCATTGTAGTGCATTCTGTTGTGATAAATTTAACTAGCTAACCTAGCCTGGGAGCATCAGGGAAGCTCTCCTGGGAGAGGGGATACTGAAGCTAAGTCCTAAGCAATGAGTAGGCATAACCTAGAAAAGAAGGACCTGAGATGGGAAAAAGCTGGACCCTTTTGAAGAAGTAAAGGGATACTTATGTGGCTGAAACTGAGTGTACCAGGTCCAGCCCCACCTGACAGGTGTTGAAAGGATTAGATGAGATAATAAAGTGCTTAGCACAGTGCCCAGCACAGAGAAACATAATGTCATGGAGATAACACACCTTCTGGTTTTTTGTACACCATGTATGAAGAGGCACTGTGTAAACCAGGGTTCTCAAACTAGCATTTAACAGCATCACCTGGAGGGCTTTTGAAGCCACAGATTGCTGGGTTCCACCTCCAGAGCTTCTGGATCAGTAGATCTGGCTTGAAGTAGAGAATCTGTAATTCTAGTAACAAATTACTAGGTAATGCTCATGCTGCTGGGGGTGGGGGTGGATTTGAGAACAACCAGTGTAAACCTTAAGGTCCTAAATGACTGTCAATCAAACTTGAATCTCCCACAATGCTCAGCTCTCGACCCTGCACAAAACAACCTCTCCATAATTATTTAATAACATTCTTTATAATTTTAGGGTGAGAAAAGGCCCTCAAAAATCCCCAATCCTTTGATTTATACAGGAGAGAAACTCAAGGAACAGAGGAGGCCAGGATGCTTGCTGTCTTAGAAATGGGAGGAGCCTGACCCTGAGAGCTTTTCCTCTCAAGAGCAAACTTCTGATGTATTTTCCCCTAAGGCAGATAGATGCAAGGCAGCTCCTGAGAGCGGCTTACCCTGTATGCTCCTCACATTGGCTAGATGACCAAGATCACTTGACCCTTTGTTACATGTATCTTGCACATATATAAAATTTTTTAATGAATGGATTTTTGGAATAAACATATTTTTGAGAGTCATGATATAAAGTCAATAAAATGTAATCTCTTCAAACAGAATATACCCCAGTACAATTTATGCTTTGTGTGGAAGTGAGTCCATATTTGTTCCCCTTGTCTTTTTTGTTATTTTTTTTATAGATGTGTAGGCCCTCTCTTGTGGTAATAATAACAGAAATGAAAACGATAGCTGATATTATCAGTGCATGTCTGGGTCAGAGAGTGCTTTACCCTCATCACCTTATTTGATACTCACCACCTTATTATGAGGTAGGTCCTGATTATCTCCATTTCATAGATGAGGAATCCAAGGCCCAGAAAAGTCTAGTAACTTGATGCAAGTCCTAGAACCAGCATTTGAATCCTAGAACTAGGATTTGAATCAAGGCTGATTCCAGAGCTTGGGCTCTGAATTACATTGATGTGATGATTCATTTGTCCAAAACAGGGAGAGGAAAAAAAAACAGTGTTGAAATAAATAATAGTAATCTCTGAGAACAGACACCCTGAGGAGTCCAGAAGATGCATTTAAATAGCTGTCTATAGATAAATGATTTCTCCTTTTCACAAGAAAACCCAACAACTTTTATCCTGGTCTCATATTTTAAGAGTTAAGACTAGGGATATCCCCAAGCAAAAAAAAAAATTTTTTTTAAGTTGAGTCATTAGGGTCCTTCAGAAGGAAAGAGAATTCTCTTTAGGTTGATAAATCTTCGCTTCTGTGGGAGGGAGGGGCGTGTTCCTTAGAGATGGGGGTGTGGGTTGGGGGTGGGAACCGCATCACTTTATTTATTCACAGCCCATATACTTGACTAAATTTAGTTCTGCCGATTAACTTAGCACACGACTAAGGAGGCTAGACTAGACGCTCTAGGTTTGTTCTTTTATGACCTCTTCTCCCGGTTGCTTAGGATGAAGAGGTCCTCATAGAAATACCCAGACCTTCCTGCCGACAGATTTTTAAAGAAGATGCCCAGCCATGCTTCGTTCTCATCCACACTCTCACGCTCCCCAATAACTGTCAAGTACCAGAAAGCTTTCCAGGGCCTGCAGAAGGCGCAGCGCCTCCAAGGCTGGCACGCTTTGCCCCTTCCCTCCCCCGGGGAGCGCCCTCAGCATCTCTCCCCGTGTGTCGGTGGAATCCTGAGCCCCAACCCGCTCCACAGCTTGGGTTGGGCGGGGGGAAGACGGTGCTCTGGGCAGCTGGGCAGCGCGGGGGTGTCATCCGTAGGACCCCAGCACTCCAGGGCCCCCCACCCCAGGCGTTCGCTCTCGGGACGCGCGGGGTCCCCAGCAGCCGCGCGCGCCGCCCCCGCCGGCCCGCGCCACGCTCCGCCCTGGACGCCGCTCGTCCCGGTGCCAGGGTGCGCGCGGGTGGGAGCGGGCCTGGCTCAGCCTGATTTACGGCTCTGCTGAAAACCGCTCCGCTCCCGCAGCACGAGCACCGATCGTGGCAGTAGCGGCAGCGGCAGCGGCAGCAGCGGCGGCGGCGGAGGCTGCAGCTACAGCAACAAGTCGGGTAAGCGGCGGCCGCGGGGCTTCGGTGCCCGCGGCCCGGCCCCGGGGGCGAGGCGGAGGGCGCCGGCCGGGGCTGGTCCGGAGGTCCCGTCCCCTCACCGCGGCGGGGAGTTGGGCTTCTCCGCCCCTACCTGCAGGAACTCGTGTGCGCACGTACTGGCTCTGGCGCCCGGGGGCTGGCACGCCGTGGGGCGGGGGCGGGGAGAGCTGGGAGCCCCGAGGCAGGGTCGTTGCCAACCTGCCCAGCTCAGGCAGAGGAAATGAGGGCTTTTTCCGCCAACCCTGTGGATTGGGGTTTCTGCTGGGCCCTTGAAAGCTTGCGTACCCCCGAAGTGCGTGATTACCCATTTCCCCACTCAGAATGCCACCCCTTTCTCATTGACTTCTAGAATCCTGTCTTCCCCTTCCTTTACCTGCCGTTTGCGTTTTTGATCAGGGTTTGCATCCCAACCCAGGAAACCGGTGCTTAAACAGCCCGGTGTAGCACAGAAAGAGATTACCCCTTTGGGGGCCAGAGGCTTTTATGATTACCCTAGAAGCATTGCCTAACTGTCTGGGGACCACCTGCACCTCTGCTTTTGAAGAGATTGAGGGCCCAATAATAACACTTTTCAGCCTAGGCCCTTAGCTAAGCTCCCTCTTTTGGGCACCCAATGCTTCTTACATTTAAGTAGAAAGCCCCCCTGCAAGAAATGGATATTAGCTGCTTGCAGAATTGGGTTGCTAGCAGTCATCTGTTGCTAAGGCTAAGATGAATTCCGACAAGGAAATAAGAACTTCCTGTTATTAAAAGAGTTATGCTGATACCTACCTGGTCAAACATTGGCCATTTCTAAAGGTTGTCATTAATGTCCAGAGGTTGATCCTTAAAACAGGATCACAGACAGGACAAATCCATACAGCACACTCTATTTTAATAAAGTCTTGGCCATGGTGGCTCACTTAGGTGAAATAATATTTGACACATTGGATTCCCAAATTTTAGTAAATCTGGAATATGGCGAGTATTACTGTTATGATAACACTTTGATTTATGTTATTACAGCAATCATCAAAGGACAAAATTAAGGGCAAAAATCTCAGGTTGAAAACTTTTCAGCTGATTGCTTAAATGCCTCTGCACCTAGTTTGAGTAATATCTTTCCCATTCTTGAGTAGAGAACGCTGAGTTTGCTCTCCTAGGATCTGTTTTGATAATTCATGCTGAGTTTTCCTCATTTTTTTGTATTCATGCTTATCAGGTTGTCAGTAAAATAGGGCACCGTTTTGCAGTTAGTTTACTAAATTCAGGAGGGCAGGAAACCTGAATCTGCTTCTGGATCTGCCATTTTCCACCTGGCCTTGAATTAATTACTTTACCTCCTTGCTCCAATATTCTCTCCTGTGAAAAGGAATGTTACCCATCTTTCTTATTCTAGGCAGGAGTCAGCAAACTTCTTCTGTAAAGGCCAAATAGTAAGTATCTTTGGCTTCGCAGGCCATAGAGTCTCTTTCTTAACTATTCACGTCTGCCTTTTAGTGCAAAAACAGCGGTAGACAATAATAGGGAAATGAGTGGATGAGGCTGGATTTGGCCCAGGGTTTGTAGGTTTTAATTTTCACGTAAGATTTATGCAAACGTCATTTGAAACCAGAAAGCCTCTGTCTGCCCTCATGAAGATGAGCAACAACAGTCATTTCAATGGTAGCATTTTAAAACAGACCTATAAACTACCTGTTTTATCCCCCGGCCCAGGACTTTTAGAGTAATGCAACAGAAGGCTTTTGAGGAAAGCAGATACCCCTGGCAGGAGTCCTTCGAGAATGTTGCTGTGTGTCTGCCATTCCGCTGCCCGAGGTGTGGAGACCATACCAGATTTAGAAGCCTGTCGTCGTTGAGGGCCCATCTGGAATTCAGTCACAGCTACCAGGAAAGAACCCTCTTGACAAAATGCAGCCTCTTTCCATCCCTCAAAGACACAGACCTAGTTACTTCCTCAGACCCTCTGAAACAGGGAAAATTGCAGAGCTGTGGCAATGTGGTGAAGCAGAAACCGAGCTATGTTAACTTGTATAGCATTTCGCACGAACACTCCAAGGACAGGAAGCCATTCGAGGTGGTGGCAGAGAGACCTGTGTCCTACGTGCAGACCTACACTGCAGTGGACCTACGAACAGACTCGCTGGATGGGCCGCGATCAAGTCCTGGACTTCCCACCTCAGACACCAAAGCTGCTTTTGAGGCCCATGTCAGAGAAAAATTCAATCGGATGGTCGAGGCCGTGGACAGGACCATCGAGAAGAGAATCGATAAACTCACCAAAGAGTTGGCCCAGAAAACTGCCGAACTGTTGGAAGTGCGGGCAGCTTTTGTCCAGCTGACTCAGAAAAAGCAGGAAGTTCAGAGACGAGAGAGGGCCCTGAATAGACAAGTGGACGTGGCCGTGGAGATGATCGCTGGGCTGAGGCAGCGCCTGACAGAATCCGAGGAGGAGCTTCTCAGGAAAGAAGAGTAAGTTGCTCTGAAACAGGATGCTAACCTGATTGCTTTAGGCACCCTCCCCTCCCCGACCTTTACAAACAAATGTTAAGCGAGGCTTGGTTTTTATTACTTGCGGGTACCTTGGCTGTATTTCTCATTGATGCAGTTGTATGTGGGAGGCACAAGGCTTTTAATAGTATTTACCCTCTTTATATGGTATGCAACCTAGCAACACAAAAGTCAAAATCTAATTCCTTCTCACCTTGGAAACTGTAAAGTACAGGTAATGTTATTAGAGAGGGGAGTAGTGCATTGTTTCCATGGTGGACTCCATTCCCAGCACCCACTGGTGAGCCAGGGAATTGAATTGGAAGGCAGAAGGGCATGCTGGGGGATTTTCCTTCTAGCAGTCTCCATGTAATAAAGTTAAGAACATGAGATGCTGTCTTATTCCAGTATAAAAATATGCCCTATTATTTTGGCTTCTTTGCTATTTTAGATTATCTGCCCATGTTAATTAAAAGTTGATTGCTTAGAATCCATTTAATTACAATTTTTATTTGGAAGAAGCAGACATTAGGAAACCCAGAGGAAACTTGCTGATATTGCTGTGCTTCTGTGATTTAAGTTTGAGAATTTTCTTTTTGTAAAATAATATGTCATACTATAGTAAGTCATGCCTGCTTGCAAAGAGTTGACACTGGTTTTTATAAGTTATAGGCGATCAGAGAAACTAATACTTTAAAAATCATACTTGGAAAAACATTTCCTTATCAGTAAGTATGGATTAAACCCAAACTAGAAAAATATACATAACAATGCAATGTATTTCCCAAAGTCAAAACATTGGCTTTAATTTTAAATGGAGGCTCAGAATTCATGGAATGAAAAGACATAAAAACTGATAAACGAAGACATTCTGGAGTTCCGTAATAGAGATTGACTTAATTTCATCCTTTTTTTGCCCTATGGCAGTCTTCTGTGTTGTCTCTTAGAATATAGTACTTAAAGCTTCTTCTACTTGATAAGAGGCTGAGAAACCCTATATATCAAAGAAATCGTCACTTGCTATCACTAAATGCTTACTTTCTACTTAGAGGAAAAGCCTGATCTGCTCAACTGGACATTTTTTAAATTATGGAGTGAGTACGGAATTGAATCAGCCACTGAGTTACTTTGCTCCTAGGGAAATGATTGCTAATGAAAAATGTTGCTCTCTTGGCTTCTAGTGTTTCCTGGTGGGAAGTTAGTGCCCACTACAGCCACCAGGGTGACTAACATTGCGCCACTGGAAGCAGCTGAGGCTGCCCTATGTGCAGAGAAAAGGTTAGAATTAAATTTTATGCTATTTCTGTTTGATTCAAGAGCAGTCAATTTAAAAGGTAACCAAATTAATTGTTTGCATTTGCTTATTTGTTGTATTTTATTTACTGTTTACACAAGTCATAATGGATGTGGGGTTTGAGGTGGTGGTTGCCTATAGTATGAGAAGACAATACGGTGACAGGAAGGATCCTATGGTTAGATCTAGGTTATGGTCAAGGACCTAACTTTTACTTGGGTTGGTGGGTTCAAGGATGCTTTATTACTAAAAAAGAACTGGTTAACTAACAAGTAAAATAGGCCATGCATGGGTCAATAATGATAATGTGTTATGGTTAATTTAGTTAGCACTGTCACCTGAGGAGTAATTGAAAAACTAACACATACTTGTAAAAAAAAATGAACAGGGTAGAATTGTATATGTTAAAAGTCCTTCCTCCCTTCCAAGCAGACGCCACCCCATCCTGAGGAGACAGCTACTGTTTAGTGAATGTCTAGATCCTCCCTGTGTGCATACAATCATCTGTACTTTATATGCACATACAGAGTCATGTGTTTTCCCAGATGGAATCATGACACATACTGTTCTGCCACTTGCATGTGGAGCTTGTTTTTGTTTTAACATAGTGTGTTGTAAGTATCTTTCATGCACTAAATATAGAATTATATCATTCCTTTTAGCTATTGCATGGTATTCCATGGTATGGATGCACCATGGCTGATTTAATCCGATTGCTCTGATGAATACATGGTTTTGTTCCATTTTGCTAGTTTTAAAAATAGCGTCTCTGTTAACACCCTTGTACATATATCTTTGTTCATGTTTCTTGTGAGTATATCTGAGGGTAAATTATGAATTGATTTTTAGTATGATATTTTTTGGACTCCGAGGAAAAAGAAAGCAATGGCATTTTTTTTTAAGAAAGACACACTTTAAATGAAAATACAGTGAAACTGCCTTAAACTTTTAAACATAAAATAAACAAAGTCTTCATTTTTTAAACCTTCATTTGGCCTGCCTCGTCAGCTTCTGTATTCAAGCCTCAAATAATCACGCTTTCTGTACATAAAATAGGACTGAAAGAGTCTTGTTTCCCTGAGGACAGTGGAGCTCTTGGTCTGAGAGAGCGACTCTGGCCCACATGCTCAGTGCCTGCAGTGTCCAGCCTCCCCACCATCCCCACCCCTCATCCCCCAAAATATGGATGCAGAGGGAGCCAGGTGCCAATCTGCCACACCATTGAAACCGGGTTGATTTGACTTGATCTGCCTGGCTGGGCCATGCCCCTTCCCTCCTCACCACTCCCTCACAGAGCTGAGCCTTCCACCAAAGAAGTGACCTTTCAGATATGGCAAGCTGCTTTTTGGCCAAGGAACATAGCAGGAGCTGTGCTCGCCTGCTAAACCCGTCCAAATGAGCTCTCAAGGCCCATTGGTGGAGAAAGTAGGTTTTTACAGTCCCACTCGAAATCGACTTAAACTCTGTGGAACCTTTGAGACACAAATGGTAGATCCAGTTTAAAAAAAAAAAAAAAAGCAAACATCAGTATTTAACATTCACATGAGGTTCTGTTGCTTATGGATTTTTCTCTCAACTTTGAAATCCTTCCTTTCAAACTGAAATGAAAGACTCAAAGGCCGGTTTTGCCCGGAGACCATCTATAGACTGAATCACCTTGGTTATAGGAGTCATATATATGTGCTCTGTAACAGAGGAGACTGTTTGAATTGGCAATATTTTGTACCTCTGTGCTGGTGAGTCTCACTGTACCTTTGTAGAGAGGCAGTACATGTTTCTGCAGAGCAAATCTGAAAAAGAAATGGTTCATTGTCTTCACAAAGTCTGTGCAACTTTACAAGTCCTCTGGAAACAGGTATTTACTTATTTAAGAGTATTCTGGGCTGTAGATTAGCACTGCCCGTAATCAGGTAAATCAATCCTGGCCACCCTTGCCGTAAGGTATCCCTTAACAAAAGGGATGGGTGTGGGCAGTAGCTGATTCCAGGGGAGTTGGTCACTTGGGGTCTGGAGTAGATCTGTCATCGTGGTAATCCTAAATTTACTTGCACGCCCTCCAGCTGGTAAGGTTGGAAAGTCCAGACTGAGCACCTGTGATGCGTCTAGCACTTTGTGTGGAGAACATAAAATTATTGATATTTTTCCCTCAGGAGCTTACACTCTACATAGGAAAAATAAAAATACCCATGAACACACCTATGTTCAAACCGAGGGTAATTTGAACAAGCACTTAAATGCAAACCATGTTTTTAAGTTGATAAGAAGTTAGAGAACAGATTTTTCTGTGACGAGGCCACACTGAGGGAATGAGGTTGAAGGGCAGGATCTGCATGGGTGGCCGGATAGTGACACTGAAAGAGAGCAGGAAGGTGCCTGTTAGAGATGACCCCTAAGGGGACTGCGTAACGTTCGTACTGAAAGGTCCTCCTGGCTCCTTCAGGATAACACCCGCATTTTGCTGATGTGGAAAATGAGGCCCAGAGTAGTGGAATGACTTAGCCCCAAAACAAAAATTTAGTAGCAAAGCTGAAAGTGGAACCCAGATTCCCTGTCTCACTGCTGATTGCTTTTTCCATTCACTGCGTCTCAGCCAGACTTTTGAAAATGTGATATTTGCCCAAAGTGGCAAGATTTAAGTAATAACTGAATCTGGCCCATTTTGGAACGGCCTTGCTTCGCTGCTATATTGAGAGGGCTGCCAGGGTGACATCATTTATTTTTCTGATGTGATTAAAGAAAATGTCAGCTGGCATCAAAGGTGTTGGGAAATGGGGTAATGGCCGCATCGGTAAATATGGTTATGATATGAAGCTTCCGGAACACCAGCCCAGGTTTTTTAACTTGGGCTTTGAACTTGACTCTCTGCACATCCATGGCCGGCCAGGGTGGAGCATGTGCCACTGCCAGCCTTTGATTGTGGCGAGGGGCCTCTTTGTAATTCCATCTCTCATTTCCATCCTGCTCCCTTGCGAGCTATGATAGATATAATCTTTTCCTTCCTTCCTTCATCATTTGCCCTGTTCCCAGCAGAAGGAGTCAGCAGAAGACAAATCTTTATTGAGTGACCACTGTGTGCCAGGTACTGTTCTACTTCTAGTCAGACAGTGGTAAACCAAATGAGTCCAGGTCCTGCTTTCATGGCAGGAACAGACCAGAAGGTAAAACAGACATTAAACAGATCATCAGGGGTGTGATAAAAGAGGTGTGTAGAGGTGGCCTGGGCCAGATAATGTCTATTTAGGTTTCTGTCAAAAGCTGGCTGTGGAATGCTGGCCTTTAAAAGGCAAGTTTGACATGGAAACTTGCTGTGTACAACTAAAAACCCTCTTGCTGCTTAATTTGTCTTTCCCATTTTTGTTTAGCTAGAGCAGTGAGTAGGCGATTTGGTCCCCAGACTGATCCATAGATAGGAAGCAGGCCAAGAAAAATCATGTTAGATGTAGTGTTCAGTGGGACAAGGAGGGGTCTGTTTGCTCCACATTTTAATACATTTACATAAATGGGGGTCCTCTCTTTCCAGACTATGCTCCATGCAGACTTACAAACTAATGTAGGAAAAACTAGATGTCAAATATGCTCTCTGAGTGATGTCATGTGGTAAAATTTGGAGACTCGGGAAGATTTTCTAATTTTCTCCATCTCTCTCTCTTTCTCTCTCCCTCCCCTTCCTCCAACCCCCGACCCTTCT